CCACGCATGTTCAGGACATGACATGCGGACGTGTGAGTGTGCCATCTGATCGGGGCGAGATGAAGGAGTTTCGGGAGCAAGAATGCATGCGTTTCATTGGCGATCACTCACACCGACCAGATGGCACACCCAGACGTCCACGTGTCACGTCCTGAACAAGCGTGGCCACGCTGATGGATGTGGGGCTCTATCTGATCATCGCCACGCATGTTCAGGAGCTGTCACGTGGACATGTGAGTGTGCCATTTGATCGGGGCCAGTGGTCACCAACGAAATGGGACCCGCGAATGCAGCCCGAGAATGTTGGGACACGCCCTTTGAGATTGTGTCGTCACTTCAGATGTTTTGTTGAAGTGTTACTCGCTTGTCGTCAATTTGTTTTCTCTCTCACGAACTGCGATGTAAGGATTTTTGTCGTATGTTGTCGAACAAGAGAACATGGTTTCTCACGAATCGTGTCTCTTCTGGATTGCACATGGACTTTCTTCTCGCCGAATAAATTTTTATTGCGCTCGGTTTGTTTATTCATTTTTCGCGTAAGTCACGTCGTGCAGTTCGCTCGGCGTTCGGTTCTGTATCTGTAAAATGTTTATTCGTTTTCCACATTCGTGGAATTTTTCACATTTTTCGCCAATCTTCCACTCGCCGACACGAACAATTTTTTCTTAAATTTCTTTTGTGTCGTTTTATTAACGGTCACATTGCAATTCCGAAATGGACAACACCATCCGCAGGATCTGCACATGGAGAGACAGAGAGCTAAAGACAGGCTCTCTCGCTGCGCATCCTCTCCTTGTCGACGTCTCTATCGATCTTAGTCTCCCTTCCGTGTCTATGCGGGTTTTCTGCCTTTCTCCAATCTTTGTGTATCGCAGACAGTCGCTCAACCGATCTCAGGTTGGTCCCCCCCTGAGTGCAATCACAGATCAGTAGTCCGAAGACTTCTACGACAGATTCGAAGACACAAGAGGCGAACGTGAATTCAAATCCTTAAACCCTATCAAACGTCGCGTCAGCCGAATGCTGCGAGGAACCCTTCCCTTGACTTGGACACAAGACAGGACATAGAGCGATCAGATGCTCACAGGGTATTGTCGACGGCGACATGTTTGACCAACCAGGAGGACGACAGCCCACCCTGTCCATACCATGTTGTGGTGGCGCAACAACCGACGTATCCGAGCCATCCTTGTTAATTTTGGTTGCATCCGAGTCACAACCCAATAAAACTCACGGGGCGACCACTAATCGAGGCACCTTGGCGAAGTTCGGATTAATCCAAACCACACTGACGGCAAATTTGGATTTGTCACATGCTCAGATGGTATTTACAACGCCGCACGTTCCCATAAACGTGGACGACGAAATCACACGCTGTCAAAAGACCGTTCCGTCTCGGATTAATCCGAACCACACCTCCGACAGGATAGGGTCCACCCTCTGCTCACAGGTCATTGAGGAAAACACGCCGTGCCGATGTCCTCCTGTTGTGGTCGGCCTAATTCGGATGCATCCGAGTCACAACGTCGGTCTTTCGACTCTGCCCAGTTCGGATGTGTCCGAACTACCACGTTGTCTTCGTCTTACAAAATGCTGCCTCGGATTCATGCAACTAAAACGAATCGAGATGGTTACGCTCGGTGGAAGAAAGACGAGCTAGCGACTACAGCAATCGTGTCTGTTGTTTGGATTGGGCGAGCAACAACCAACTAAAACTCACGACGATGACGATGTCCCCCGTGATGACGCACAGATTATAATGACACACAACGGCAATCCCGGGGAGGTCCGCTGTGTGGTGGAGCGACAACAAAGCGTAGCGCCTCGGCGAAGTCGGATTAATCCGAACCACACCGGTGGCATTTTCGGATTTACCACATGCGCAGAGGGTATTGACGACGTCGCACGATCTGATAAACTTGTACGTCGAAAGAACACGGTGTCGGCGCAGCCTGTCGTGGTCGCACGTATCGGGACAGCCTTTGTCGAAATCGGATAAATCCGAGCCACACGCGTCTTAAACACTCAAGGACGAAGACACACCATGCAAAATTCGGTTGGACCCAACGAGAGCAAGGGAATAACGGAAGCTTGGATGGCCATCCGCCGGTCCCCGTCTCGGATTAATGCGAGCCACATATGCGAAGTTCAGGTTCAACCGAGCCAAACCTCCGACAGGATAAGGTTAACCCAGTGCTCGCAGGTTGGTGACGAAAACACGTGCTGTAGATGACCTTTTATGGACGACCGTCTCTGGACCGCGCTGTTCGAATTCGGATGCATCCGAGTCACAACCGTTACCGACTCAGAAGGACAAGAAAACTTGAGTTTGGTTTCGTCCGGGCCGATAGGGGGAGGTCCACACCCCTTTGGAGCTCGGATTCATCCGAACTACAATGGCGGACTTTACAATCCACTTTTTGACTTCCAATGACAACGTATTCACCTTCGTATGCCGTATCAGCGTTCTAGGGCCTTCTTGCGAGGCGTTGTTTTTCCCGGGGCAGGTGCCTATGCGACGTCGGTTTTTCGACTGCGCCTGCTTCAGATGTATCCAATCTATCCCACGGTCTTCGTTTTCGAGCATTCGTTCTCTTATGGGCAGTGTGATGAGGATGGCTGACGATGCCTCGGATTCATCCGAAACGTGCAGGCTTGTGGACCACCGTCGTCTAACTATGACTGAACTTCGTTCTTTTGGAGTCCGGGTGACCGATAACAAAATACGTGTCGTGGGTTGTGGTTGATGTTGGGACATGCTGACTGTTCTGAGTGAATGTGGGTTCATGTCCTTCGTGTGTTTCAGGGAATGGCCTCACACGGACGAGGCCGCTCCGCTGGTGGTTTCGCCCCGCACGGAGAGGAGCGTCGAGGGACGACGTCGTCGCCGGCAAGGGAAACGAGTCGTGGAGTTGGAGGTGGGGAGGAAGAACGACGTGCTCAAAACTTGTGGTGCGACTACAGCAAACGTGTCTGGTATTTGGACTGGGCGAGCCAGGACGGCTCCGACCCGTTGCAACCAACGTGCGGGCCGCTCTTGTTCGTCGCCGTTCGCGCCGACAGAACGCGTCTCGCAGGGTCCATCGTCCAGTGGGTCGACGATGGCGAATACAATTTCAAGTTTACGTTGAAGAAGCATTACAAAAGTGATGGTTCTGTCGACAGCATCGCAAAGGGATGCAAGGTTGCCGGGAAGATGTTCGGTGGGTACGGCCGTCGTGCGATGTTTTTGCCTCACTTTCTCCCGCTAGCGCCGGGGCACGACGAGGCCGTTCACATCACAGACTTCCTCGAGGTCTGGGCGAAATCTGGTACCTCTGTCAGTGCCGTGGACGTCGGACCTGGAACATCGATCAGTGGTCTTGTTGGGTTCGCGGGAGGAGAGCGCTCTAAAAGGGAGAGGGGAGGTCAGGGTGGCCTGCCAGCTACGCCTCCTGATCAAGAGGTGGGCATGTCAGACGACTCGTAGGACGACCATCCGCGTGCTACTTTGAAACCAGGCTTGCATGTATCTCGCCGCCACGGTTTGCTTGGGGAGTCGAGGCCACATGGAGGAGGCGATGGCGACAGGGCGCAGAATCGACGACTCCTCGTTGTCTGGTCGAAAGGATTGGTTCGTTCGTTCGTGGCATGCAGGTGGCCGAGGTCTCGCCTGGAGATCGAGCGGGTGGTGTGCAGGTTCGAGAGGTGCGTGGGTCAGATGAGACGACTCGCCGGGCCCGACCAGCGCCGGGGGAACTATAGACGGAGTTGAGCCAGGAACGAGAAGCAAGTGGGAACGTCGCCGGTGAGGAGGAGGTGTCCGAGCAGGGGCTGTTCCGTGAGAGATCCGCTGAAAAGACTCAGTCGGGAGGCAAGCGCAACTTGCCGGATGAGGAAGAGCGAGAGGGACTAGGTGCTCTGAAAAGGCAGAGAAAGGTAGGAGGGAGTGCTCGGACGCCAACAACACGAGAGGGCGGTTCCGTTGAGAAGAGGAAAAGGGTTGGAGGTGGGGATGAAATGCCAAAAGACTCGTCGACACAGCGAAGAACCGGTGAGTCTTCTGGGAAAACGGCGAAATCATCGAGGGGGAAGAAAGCAGACGAGGGCGATAGCGGGGAGGGGGATGACGACGTGGAGATTAACCTCAACGCCTTTAACCTCGGCAATGCGTTCTTCCTCGAGATGCAGACAGGGGTGCAGAAGGACGTCGTGTTGCACATCCATCCCGAAAGAATATTAGCTATTCTTGACTGGGAAGACGCGTACAACCACCGATCCTTGGACGAGTTCCTCGTTGATACCATCGCGTCGGCTATAATCGACTGCTACGAACGTAAAGACATGAGATACACAAAGCCCATTTTCGTTCTTGCTTCGATCGTCGCGCCTCCAGAGAACGACGAGCCTGCTGTGCGCGTGCTGCCTGCTGACTTCGACAACTCACACCCGGAGAGATACTGGTATTATCCTGTGTGTGGACAGCATAACGCGAGGGCGGCGATGATGGTGAAAGACCATCCCGTGTTTGATTACTACAACTTCTGTAAATGGCGGTTCAGACCGATCTACTTCCCTGACGACGAGTTCGACGGCTACGCTCATGTCAGCTGCGAAGACAACATGAAAGACAAGAAGAATCCACCGCGCTTGCAAGTTTTATGTATGCGAGACATTCGCAATATCTGGAAAATGAAAGGCAAACCGCGTGTGGTGCTCGGCAATGCCTCAAAGAAACAGGACGAGGTGCGAAAGTGGGTGCGGTTCATGGCGTTGGCAATGAAGAAGACGTCGTACACGCCTATCTGGAACCTGTAAACGGAAGCAAAGAAAAGAAAGGAATGGGCTGAGAAACTTCGATACTACCTCCCGCTGGCCATGGCAGATGACTCCGTCTTCGCTTTGGGGTTGAAGTTCTATGAGGAGTGGTGGAAAGGGAAACTCCTTGCTTCCAACGACCGGCGTTGGACTGAAAAGTCGCCCACCCATGAGGAGGTGGCCAAGCCAGGACTCTCCACTGTGACTGACAGCCAGGGGCTGAAGAAACACGTCTGGTACGTGAAGGTGGCTGACCCGTCGTTCAAAAAGGGCAGGGGGAAGCCAAAGAAAGGCGCGGAGGAGAAAACTTTCTACGTCCAAGTTCCAGAGCCGGATGTCCACTGCTGGAAGGAATTGGTGGACTTGACGGACCGCGAGAAGGAAAGGCTGTTGAACGGCGTCTTGAACCTTAACGTCGTGTGGGTTCAAACGAGTAGCAAAAAGTTGGCCGAGCAGCGGAAGTTCAGTGTCAAGGAGATGGTCGACATAAGAAAAATGGACCGGATTATGCTGATGCTGTGGCACTACGTGGAGTTCGAGTACGAGGAAATGGATAAGCGGGAGTGGAATGCCAACTCCACGTTCTTTAGGTCCAAGAAGCAACTGTTCGAAGAGTTCAAGGACAGAGGTCTCGACGACAAGCTTTGGAACGAGAGCAGGAAATTTTTCACGGACACCATATATGTCAACAAGTGCCCTCAGTTTCTCAGGTGTCAACACGAAAACAACATCAAGAGAACGGTGGCCCTTGTCAACGACCAGCATTTCCCGGCGGAGTGGTAGCGTGTCGTCCTTTTGGTGATCACTGGAGATCGCGCCAAAGGCAAAAAAAGCCCTCAGGACATTGATGAATGCATCAACATTATGTGGACAAGGACAAGCGCCTTGACGACGCTGGCCCAGTTTAACGTCGACCCGTTGAGTGCCATAGATCATAAGCAGGCGCTGGGAAAACTGGGGCATCAGCTACGCTCCCACACTTGCGTGCTCGACTTATGCGGTGCTGTGGACCRTGCGCAATRGGAYTCTGGGGCATTCGCGTCTCTGAGTRAGTTGYTGGGCTTCGTTTGTCAGGACTACTGGACATTGGTGGTATTCGTCCCCTGCCTGTGGAACCTCTCCTTCATGACATGTTTGTCTGCGCTTGGGGCTACCCGATGCTACACGGGGCAGTGGGTTCGGAAGACGGCATCGAAGAAGACGCATCAGTTCGGAAACAGCGTCTAGGAGGAGCCGGATGTGATGCACATCCTTTTCAAAGGCGAGGATCCTCGGCTACTGACTCACCCGGTGTACGAGGGAGTTGTTGCTGAAGACGATGCCGCCGCTCTCCGGAGGAGACAGAAAGTGACACCCACGGATGTGGAGGAGAAGTTTTTCAAGTCTTTGACTTTCGCGGACATCGGAAACCAGACCCAGAGGGGGGCTCTGTACAAGGACGGCGAGCGGAATCCGAATCAATTGTGCAATCAGCTTCTTTTCTTCTGTGGTGTGGCGGATGCCGTGCTGTTCTTGGGCAAGCCGCACGCGCAGGTGGTGTGGAGTCTGCTTCAGCAGGGAAGGCACGTCTTGGCCGTGGATGGGGACACAACGCAGCTCAAATACACCGTGCAGTATGTCACCCATGAAGTGTCGTCCAAGGCTTACCCATGCGATTTCCACCATGTCGTGGTCGAGCCCGTTTATGACCTGAACAAGGACATGTTCTTCAAGTTGACTCCGAAGAAAAGGCGCCAGGTCTACTTCTTCCCTTACAGCGAACAACCAAGGTTGAGATTTGACCCGCAGTACGTGGTGTGGAAGGAAGTCGCCATTGCGGTCCTCCAGGGCTACCACGGAGCAAGTCGGGTCGGCGCTGTGAGCTTCATTAAGAGGCTGGAATATGTCTTTTTTAACGAGGATGTTGTCAATCCGGCCGACTTCACTTTGGATAAGTACAAGCTGGCATTCGGTGAGGAGGACGACTTCAATATCCAGACTGAGCAGGAGGAGAGCGTTGAGGACGACCTCTTCGATTTGGACGAGAAATTGGCGATCTTCAACGCCCAGGTTTCTGAGTCGCCATCAGTATGCAAACCGGGGATACCTCTTGCTACACCTACCTCGGGCGGTCCCACGTCCGTGTCCTCCTCAGCGCCTGTCAAGAGGGGTGGGTTGTCCCGTCTGAGGAGTTCGCCGGGGGAGSCTATTCGTCTCACGCCTTCAACCCGAACGTCTTCGACCCGACCATCCAGTTCCTCCGGACCATCCGCATCTCAAGGCTCCTGCGACTCCCTTCCACATGGCCGACAAACATACCTTCTCCACAGCTGAAGATTGGGGCCATGATATCGTCTGGCACCCGGACCATTTCCAGCCAGTCCTTCTCGACGGCGAATGGGCAGTGGATGTGAGGGACGTAAGTGGAGGGTGGATATATGACGATTGTTGGGACCTCGAGACATTCAAATCTCGCKCCTACGATGCGGTATTGGAGAGATTAAGTGAGGTCAATCGACGAAATAAGGACGACCCTGCTCTTCGCGAATACGGGGACACGCTGTTCGAGTTATTGCAGTCAAATAAATGGCTAGAAGTGTCCTCCACGTTCTACGCCCTTCCGTCAAGCCCTTCAATTAAGCAAGTGAGTTGGGAATTGCCTGGGGTCACCCCACCGGCAGGAGTTGTGAAGCGCAAGTCTCGCGGAAAGGACGGCGACGGGGATTGTGAAGGCGGCGGGCAACGAGGTACCGAAGGTGGAAGTGAACAGCGATCGACAAAACAGCGGTCTCCGGGGCACGCAGGCGGCGGAGAGGGGAGAAAGGGCAGCCGAGAGAAGAAGAAGCCTTGCAACAGAGAGAAGACAAAGCATCACAAAGGAGACGGGCAGGGGTCCGATGGCGACCGCAACAAGGATGGTGGGGTTCTGGCGGTAACAGGCAGCACCTCAATGGAGACGGGGAACGACTTGAGGCCTGGGTGTATTACGCGGCCTGGCGAGCAGGACCCTGTGATTAGCTCCACCAGCGAAACACAGTTTGTCGATGCGGTTGGTGGGGCGGGTGTCGCAAAGCATGGAACATGCTTCGCTCAACTCCAAAAACGGTTGGCGGATTGTCTCGGATCAATCCGAACCTCGGAGACGACGTCATTATCCGGAACTCAGTGCCTTCGGGGAAGCGAGACGACAACATACCACGGGTCCTGCAGCGACAAGCAGGAACCGTATTCCGTTTCGCCTCAAAAGGAAGTTCGGATTAATCCGAACCACGAAGGCCGTGCCATCGAGGGAGCACAGCTGTCTACAAAACTCGAACGGGTGGTCCGGGTTTTCGAAAACCCTGGCGACGAAATTCGGATTCATCCGAACCAGGAAGCCGTGTCTGCGATGACAGACGATCGGTGTCAGGATGCAGTAATGCTCTGCGTGGAAGCCCACAAGGAGCTGCAGGMGGACTGTCGGACTGAGGGTGAGTTGGCGACCAGTTCCAATGTCRAGCCCAACACACTCRGAGCCGAGTTAGCAGTCGTAAGCGACTCCCCGGTGAAAGCGGTCATGTCGGCGTCATTGGAAACTGCGGGGGCTCGGATGAATCCGAACCAGGGCCTTGTGAACATCTCCCTCCCTGATGCATCTTTGGAGACGACCGTGATTCGGATTCATCCGAGGCACACGGACGAAGGACTTCAACTGACAGGCATTGAGGGTTATCGACTACTGACGACTTTGGATAAGGACAATTTCGTCGACGACCGGATTGATCCGACACTCAGCGACGTCGGGATGGAGCTACCAGTTCAGCCGGGATACGAGGATCCCTTGTACTCCGCCCTTCACAACGAGGCGATGGGGAAGGACGTTCTGAAGAAGGCCTCTAACGCTGTTGGAGATAGATTTCTCTATTTGAGTGACGACGACAAAGAAACAGCGTACGGGGACAAGAAGTTAAGGGGGGGAGAGGTGTTGTTGGACATCCATGGGACATTGAGCCCAACACAATACGACACAGTGGCAATGGAAAAAACACAACCTGACGATGTTGTGGACGTCGA